GCATATCGGCAGGGTTTAGATCAGTTGGCACGTGCAGCCAAGACATTCCAGATGTGAGTTCCTGAATAACAGAAAGTCTATTAGCGACAAATACATTGAAGTTGGATGGTTGATTTTTGATCCAAGCCAAAACGACTGTGGAGTCACACCAGCAATAATAAGAGCACTTGAAGTTCATCAAAGACACTTCATGCATAAGCTGAGCGAGTAGCGCTGCACCACATAATTCCAACTTGGGTATTGTGATAGTCTTCAGTGGCGCTACACGAGATCTGGAAGATAGAAGATTTGCCTTGACTCCATTGTCGCCTTGCGAAACAGCGTAGATGCAAGCTCCATAAGCACTCATGCTGGCATCACAAAATCCATGCATTTCAAGGTTGCTGCTTCGAAGGAAAGATAGGCGCGGGAAAGAAATTTGTTGCATAGAGTCAAACTGCTGAATAAAGTTGATCCAAGTTGTGCGTAAGGAGACTGGCAGACTTTCATCCCAATGAAGCTTTTCTTTCCACAGCTGCTGTAGAAATATTTTTGCTTTAGTAATAACTGGCCCTATAAGTCCGAGTGGATCATAAAATCGTGCAATAGTTGACAATACAACTCGCTTAGTTGGTTTCGAAGGGACTTGATTGGGACAGAATGAAAATAATAGCTCATCCGAAGTGGGATTCCATGCTAAACCTAGCGTCTTGGTTACATCGCTGCCATCAGTAAATTTAACAAATGTTTCCCTATCTTCATGGGGTGTTTGATCGAGTACATATGTATCGTTGGAACACCATTTTCTGATCTTGAAATTTCCTTTGGCTAATAGTCCTGACACCTGGCGAATTATTTCCAGCACCTCATTTGTAGTATCTCCCCCCGTTAGCAAATCATCCACGTAAAAGTCCCGCAGCACAACTTCAGAGCCAATTGGATATGACGAACTCTCGTCTGCCGCTAGTTGGTGCATAGAACGGACGGCCAGAAATGCTGCTGGTTTCGTTCCATAGGTCACGGTATCCAGCTTGAATGTCCTTAGCTCCTCGAGGGGTGAGTCACGCCACAGTATGCACTGCAGAAAACTATCTTGGGGCGAGACACGGACGCATCTATACATTTTACAAATGTCACCAGTCAATGCTATACGAAAGGTACGAAATCGAAGAAGAGTCGTAACTAACTTTGGCTGAATTGTTGGGCCTGACATCAATATATCGTTGAGGGAATATCCTGTAGATGTACAAGCGGATCCGTCGAAAACTACTCGGAGTTTTGTGGTGGTTTTGTCTTCTCTTAAGACGCAGTGATGAGGAAGAAAAAATTTGCATTGTTTAAGTGCGTCACTTTTGACAGGGGACATGTGATTCAAATCGACGTATTCCTTTATAAATGCGGCGTATTGGGCCTTGAGAAGCGGTTTGCGAACCAACTTGCGCTCTAGATTGAGAAATCTGCGATAGGCTTGTTGATAAGAATCTCCAAGAAGACTGTCACTCAGCTTTAAAGGCAATTGAACGCAATATTCGCCACTTGGAAGCCGACCGCAATGTTTTTTGAAATGTTCCTCGCAAGCAATTTCCTCCTTTGTTGCTTCTGTAGCGGGACCGTGGCAGTTTTCCACTTCCCAGAACCTTCGCACTAGCTCATCCAAACCAACGGTAGGCGTTTGACTCAATTCCGTCGAACTAGAGGCAGCTAGGAGCACTGAGCTGCGGGAGTACTGACCTCCACCTGTGACAACCCAGCCGAGACGGGTTTTTTGTATTATAGGAAGTCCCCTCTCCAATTTGATCTGTCCAACGCATAAAATGTCGTAAAATAAGCTGGCTCCAATAAGTACATCGATGCGCTGAGATTTGTTAAAGTGTGGGTCAGCAAGGCTGATATTGGATGGCATTTCCCATTTGGATACATCAAATGAAGAAGCAGGCTGGTTTCCTGTAATACGTGGAGCAACGAGAGCTGTGAGACTCGTGAAGTAATCGGAAGTCCTGGATTGAATGACCAAATTAACTGAACCTTCCGTGTGAAATGCAGAATCAGCGCCGATACCCGATACTGATACCGACCCTTTGGCTCGTTTCAGCTGAAGCCTCTGAGCAAAGCGAGAGGTTATTAAATTAATCTGAGAGCCTGAATCCAGAAGAGCCCGGCAAGGAAGAAGATCACCAACTCGACTCTTTATCATAATGACTGTCGTGGCTAGAAGCACTACGTCTGAGCTAAGATTCTGAGCAGGAGGCGAGCATGGTGATGAAGCGGCAACAAGAGAACTTGAAAGATTGGGGCCTGGGCATAAGTCTGTCTGAATAGGAGACGTAGTAGCGTTTGCAGGTTCCGTGTTAACTGACGTAGGCAGCGGATTGTTGATATGTAAAAGGGTATGATGCTTTTCACCGCATGTGCGACAAGAGCCTGAACTGCAGGAGGTATTCCGATGTCCCTTCTTCAAACAGTTGAAGCAAACTCTAAGCTTCCTTGCCTCTCTAACCCGCAAAGATGGCGAAAGGTTTCCAAAGCGAGTGCAGCTGTAAATGTTATGCCCTTTATTATCACAGAACACGCATTCCAATACGATTGTATTTGTAGCAACAAGACTGTGTTTTGAATGAGTGATTCGTTTATGTTTTCCAACCTGACTGCTATGGATTTGAATCGACATAGCTTGATCCATGGTCTCCATGGCTTGACATCTCCTCTCCAAAAAAGCCGAAAAATGGTCCCATGTTGGTATGACGTTAGGGGGCGACAGCTCCTCCCATTTGGTCCTGGTATCAGAGTCGAGATACTTGTATGTGGAGTTAACGATGATGCATCCAGCTATTTCCTCCATGGTACCCATCGATCTAAGCGCTCTCATGTGAGAATGAAGCTTGTCCGATAAAGTACGTAGCTTTGTAGTTGACCCATCTTCAACCTTCTCATGCCTCAGAATCTCAGCGACGTGTGCCTGAAAGATTAAACGTTTATTATTGAAACGATTGTTTAAAATGTCCAATGCAATATCATAATTGCTCTCCGATACTTCCAAAGAGCGAACAGCCTCCAGGGCAGGTCCATCCAAACATGAGCGCAGGTGCTGGAACTTCTCAATCTTTGATAGAAAGGGCTCCTGATCTATTACTGTGCTAAACATCGAGTAAAAGTCTGCCCACTCAGTATAACCTCCACGGAAAGTGGGAAGTTTAATGTCAGGAATATGATATCGTGACCGTACATTTCCGGAGGCAGTAACGTTGAGCTCGGGTCGTATCGTTGAGTGATGCGGCATGTTCTGGGTAGTCCTGCGGAGTGCTGAGCGAATACGAACTTCGATTTCCATCGCCAAATCGTCAAAGTTGTTGCTTAAGTCGCTGCCAATTTCGCTTACATCAAGCTCTTCTAAATTAGAATGAGTAACATTAAATGAGTCGGACATTTTTTCCAAGAATTTTAAATGAACACTTAGCGCATCTTCACTGATTGGGTTGTTTTCATCATTCAATATCGTCTCTCGAAGTGAAACGGCTTTTTTGTATATTGAGAGTGCCTTTAGTTTGTAAAAAGACACCCTGTTTTCCGGCACGTCATTAGACTCATCCATTTTCGACAGGCAGCAGCGAGCAAAGCACAAAGAAGAATCGAAGAACCAACCGTTTGATTTTTTTTTGGTATGCAAGCGCAAGTGCAGCGAACCCGAAGCCGCTAATGCACGTAGCTGTATTAGTGCTTGTAAGCAAGCGCGCGACGAAATGGGAACTAACCGCTTCGCGTTCGAACAGTTATGTTTAGCGGATAATTTTCACTGTTTATAATTGTTTATTTCCAAATTGTTACTGACGATCACGTCGGGGTCACCAAATGTTGAGACAACGAGCTTTTTCGCTGACTATGATTGTTCAATAATTTCACAAATTATTAATTTCCGAAAACGTTATAAATTTTATTATAGGTATTTGTGTGTTGAGGGTGGCCAAAGATGCCAGAGCCTTTTACAATAGTATTAGAGTGAAACACTTGGATGAGGCAAGCGAGCCGATCTCGAGCCAAAGTAATAGATTGGGGACAAAAGGGGTCTGTTCTCCAACTATATCAAGCGGTAACTGTTTGAGCAGGCGCAGCTGCTGACGGCTTAGCGACGGCATAGGAAAGAAAAGATAACAAGAGCGAGCATAGATAAGAATAGATGATTAAATGAGAGCATGTTGCTGAGCGAGCATAGATAAAGCTACGCTTACGTTACGTTAGTTTAGTATAATGACCAAAATAGAAAAGAAAGTGAATTGATAGGCAATAAAACAATGGTATAAAATTTACACTCGGGCTTCGCCCGAACACCAACTATACGATATTTCTTCCGATTTTTATTAGCTTTTCAAGGTCTTCATTTGGGTTTGCATCCCAGCGGTCTCTTGAAGCACTTTTCTGGCTTCACTCGTTCGACGAGACATTGAAAGACAGCGCAGGAAAGAGAGAGAGAGACAGAGATATAGGGATATAAGCGAGCAAAGTGCGTGAACAAAAACAACAAAATGGAAATGAAAATTGAAATTGAAAACGTTACGCATGCGTATGCGAGGCTTTTCTTTCCCCCCCAAAGAAGGGGGGGCGGGCGGAGGGGTCTGCTGTGCATCTGTCGCTGGACTTTCAAACATATCCCATATCAAAGTGAAAGAGGAAGATGGACAGAGACACAGCGACAGCGAGAGCGAGAGAGATGGCAGTACAAATTGGAAGCTGCAAATGGAAATTTTTTGCAATTGGAAACGTGAGGTTGAGGCGCACCACACACCGCACCCCACCAGCCACCCAACCCTCCCTCCACCCATCCCTCTACTCGAATCTCTACTGTTCAGTGAGCATCGCTGGCTGTCGGGGCTGGAGGCTGAAATCGAATCCGCTCCGGCTGAAATTCCGGCTGAAAGCCAATAAAAGTACGCGTGTGGCCAGAAAGATTCGTCACAAGGCGGTCGACAGCAGCAGCGGCAGCACCCACCACCAGCAGATACCGCAAACCGGACAAAAATTATGGCGACATGGACCTGGATGTCCTGAAGTATTCGTCCAGCCTTGCCTGGGCCAGCATCCTCACATGGAGCCTCCTGGGGTTGAGCTTCAGGAGCTGCCAGGCAGTGCCAGGCGGAAGCAGCGGGGAGCGGTAAGGATTCCGTCAAGGGAGTCGTCCTTTCAGCCACTCAACTCTGGCCATTTTGCAGGGTCCACATCCGCCTCCACATGCCGGAGGTGGTGCGCCAGCACACGCACTTCCACAACGTCTACAAGTACCCCAAGAAGTATCCACAGCACACAGGTCCAGCGCCTGCCCCAGCGCCTGCCCCTGCCCCTGCCCCAACGCTGACCCACCCGAAGCTGGTGGGAAAGCCGCATGTCCAGCTCTTGGGATACACCACGGCGGCCGGTGGCACAGGCCCGATGTCGCCGAGTCTGATGCAGTTGATGGCCACAGCGGTGGCGCCCACAAACATGCCACCAGCGCCCGCCCCCGCCCCCGTCCACACCAGCCTGGCGCCCAACTATGGGCCCGCTTTGTTCGATAGCTTCAACGAGGAGCTGCAGAAGCAGGAGGCACCCCTGAGCGCCACAACGACAGCGCGGCCGATCGCCAAGAAGCAACAGTTGCTGCAACAAATCTTCACCCCGAACGTGATGTCCGCCCTGCAGCAGGAGGCGGGGGAGGAGACAGACAGCTCCCTGGAGGAGGATCGCTTCGAGAAGAACTCCCTGCTGAACCTCAACTTCCTCGAGGCCCTCCAGCGGGAATACCTCAGCAAGTTCGGGGGACGGCGCAAGCGCAAGAAATCGGCCACAAGATTCGGCACACGACCAAAGGACTACTATCCTGTTGCTCCGCTGAAACCCCGACCGTACTACTACCAGGGCAATCAGGAGGAGGACGATCCAGCCGAGCACTTCGAGGACTACAGCGACGAGCCGCAGGACGACTACGAGGAGGTGATGATGGTGTCGCACGAGGGCAGCGGCAGGGGCAGGTCCAGGGGCAGGCATTCGAATCCCACTTCCTACATGGAGAGCTCCAGCTACTATCCGCCCGAGACGGACCTGGACGATGCCCAGGGCTACGACAGTGCTGTGGCATTCAGTGGCCAGGACAACAGCATCTCGGCCGTGCCCACAGTCGACGACTTCCTGGACGATGCGAACAATCATCCATCGTCTGGCTATGGCAACTTCTACGATCCGTACTCCTCCCATGAAATGGCCTCTCAGCCCTCGCCCTGGCAGCCTTCCCCCACGACGGCCAGCACCTCCGCTGGGATGGCCAACAGCTGGACAGCCAGACCCACCGCCCCAGCCAGCTCCCAGCCCTCGAAGGGCATCCGATTGCGGCCCAGAAGTCCGGGCGGACGGGCCAACAAAGTCCGCTACGTGAAGCTGGTGACGCGCAAGAAGCGCAGAAATCGCGAGAGAATCAGAACGAAAAGGTATCGTCCTTGACGATCCTTTTTAGCTCTTAGGAATTATGGTTTTCGAGTTACTGTTAATTCAAGCATACGTTTAATAAAATGTTAATTATTTTTAGAAGAAATTTCAGGACATTTTCACTATTCAAATATCGAAAAATTCAAGGCCGCAAGACTGAAATTAGATCGGAAACTCATGCAAGTCTTACCCAAATATGTGAATTATTTAAAAGTACATCGAAAAGGTTTGAGCCCTTACCTAAAACGAGAAAGAGAGATTTCAATTAGACAAAAATATAGGCAAATTGCAACGAAAGGAATGTGTCCTTTCGCTTAGGGGAAATTCGTGCAGTAAAAAAACCATCGCTATTCGAGGAATGTGCCGGGGTATTCGATTACTCCCATTAAACTGACTCCAAGTGTTAATTATAAATAAGTAATGTATGAATTCCCATCGATAGAGGACGGGGGTCCTTGGCAGGCTTCTCCTTTTCTGGCGCTTCTCGCGGCCAAAGCAAACTCTCATTAGATGAGCACACAAACCAGCATAGAAACCCAATTAAGGGTCGAAACTAGAAGCAGAGGATGAATGGGAGACGAAGCCCATAAACAGTAACCAGAAACCAGAAACCGATTCGTAGTCCTCCCCAGCGCCACCCACCCTTCGGTCGTTGTGGACCAAGCAAATAAAGTGCACAATTAAATGTGTAGATCGAGCCAAGGGGGGAGTGGGGGGGACTGGACTGCGAGCAAATAATAAGTACAAATGCTAATAAAATTCAATTAAAGGCCACAAAATTACAATAAAAGTGGCCCGAAAAGGGAACTAGCTCTGGCCAAATGTCCGCCCGGACAAAGTTCCGGGAGCGAAAGCCCCAGCAATGCTGGAGGGGGGGGACTGGGACTGGGCGCAGGGGTGCCACATGAAAAGTCAAAATTAACGACTCATTTGGGCAAATTGAAGCCATAAACTACAAAGGCCTGGGGAAAGGGAAAGAGAGATGGAGATGGAGAGGCAGGGGCATCTCTTCCTTCGCGACATTTGAACCAAAAGGAATACGTATATATTTTCCGAAATATATGCAAGAGAGTGACAGGACGTCTCCAGCTCTCACTGGAAGAGACAGAGAGAGAGAGAGAGAGGGGGGTTTGGGGAAGGATGAGTTAGGCGCAGGATCCTTACACCCAGTATTCCTAGAGCATATGGGTATATCAATCAGTTTGCTGTGGAAACTGAAGGAGTGCATTGTTGTTGGTTTCTTGGGACCGACTCAGACGAAGCCGAGTAGGCAGCGGGGCCGCGATCGGACTTTGAACTCTGATCCGTAAAGATCTAATAAATAATAAAGCAACCAAAACCCTAGGAAATTCCCAGACTAGCGGATATCCTTTAGTCCGAAAGACTACCCTTCTTTTTTTTATTTCATTTTGGGTTATAAACATGAAGGACATCCGCGGAGAGGGGAGAGGGGAGTGCAGGTCCTGGGGTTGTGTGAAAACATTCGTTGCATACTTTGGGGGCCAGCGAAATTAAAAGCGTGTAAAGATTTTCATTTTCTTGGGCAAAGCGGAACGCTTGAAGGGGGATGCGGAATGCGCAGGGGGTGGGGCGTGGGGCGTGAGGCGTGTGGCAAGCGAAACACATAAAGTGTTGATGTGTCAGCCATATGACATTTATTGTTTAGACGACGACAGCGATGTCTGACTCTGTTTCTGGTTTTGGTCCAGGGGCTGCTGTTGCTCTGGGGGCGGGGGAAGAGGAAGCCGGAAAAGGAGAGCGGAAGAGGAAGAGCAGCCATGTTTATTATGCCCACCAGATGGCATTATTGCGGCATTGGACAAAGGCAGAGGCAGAGGCAACAAGTGCAGAGATGCCCAGAGAGGGTGGAGAGATGCCCAGAGAGGGAGGAGAGAGGGAGAGATGCCCAGAGAGGGTGGAGAGAGGGAGAGACCCCCAGAGATGCGTGGGAGCCAGGCCTTGGCCCATTTTTAGATGATTTATGGCTGGGGAGAGGCGGAACAGGATGATGTCATAATAAATAAATGTATTTACGATTAAAGTCGTTCGAGCCTGAGCCTGCGCAATGATCAATGGCTTCGCTCTATGGCCATGAATTAATTGTTGCCAAAGGTCACGAAGGAGTCCTGGTGCAGGGCCTGGTCACAGGGAAACAGATTTTATCTGTATTTGAAGTACACGGGCTATCCATCCAGGAGGGATCCATGGATCCATGTTGGCAAAACCAATCGAAAATATGACTCCAGCACTGGGTTTCCCCCGAAACAAATTGCCAGCTCTCCAGATCCACTCTTAACGATGATTTTCCTGCAAACATTTATACTTTTTGTGTGCCAGCGCCAACGTAATTGATTTTCCCGATATAATGGCCAACAGCGAACAATACTCTATAATATCCGATGATCCCCGTCGCCTCTGAACCCCACATGACAAATTTCTCTGCCCACAAGAGCGCACACAGAATACATACGAGTAGGAGTAGTCGTATGAGAAAAAGGGAGACTAAGAGCCAATTTCCCTTACCCATTTCCGTTTTTGTTTTAATGAAAGTGACATTAAACGCTTCCAGAACCATTGAGAGGGGGCTCTTCTCTCTTCTCCCCCAAAAAAAATATATTTTCCATCCAGTTTATAAGTCTAATAAACGCTTTAGGCTCCGTTCTCCCTGATATGTGCCTCGTAATAATTTCATTGAACGAGAAATAAATTTTCCAATTCTCGGCTGAGAAACAAAAACATTCTCGTACATCGTTAGAGCCACCGGAAAATCATTTGTCATGGAGCCACCCCCAAGCCCAATCCCAAAGAAAGGACGAAACGAAAAACTCTTTTGGCTTGGCTAATTTTTAGACAAATGAGACTAGAAATAGAAGCTCTCGGAGGAGGATGCTCTGCCACTGCCACTGCCACTGCCAAACAATTCATTAATTTAATTAATTTGGGGGCAATTAAATATGGTTGCACAATGGCAGACAGCATAGCAGACGAATTTCAGCCCAGTCATCATCTACGATTCAATGGGACAGTCATTTGTTAGGTATACACCATCGCCAAGCCACCCTCCCACCCACCCACCCTATGCACACAACATTAATACACAAGAGTACTCCCCCTACTGCTCCTCCTCCACCTTCACTCGCATGTTCATCAATTCCCAGGAGAACTCTGGCCCATTTCTCCACTTCAAGGGTGAGAAGAGCCGCCACAAGAGCGGGCTTAAATGGGTTAAGTGCTGGTGGCGTTAAACGCATTCGAGGCGAAAAGGACGCCTGTGGCAGTCAACACCCACTAAAGCGAGCCGGGGATATGGTCTACAATACAATTACTTGTCATGCCACGCCCATAAGTCGCCCATATCCAATGACAGAGAGCAGGGCGAACATTAGAGTAAAAGGAATACATTAGGAATACATATCCTTTAAAAATACGTGAAAAATCTTGTAAATTCCCAACAGCTATCCATCTATCCGATATATTCATTTGAGTGCATTCGTATGACATCATTCCCATCATTCTGGGTGTGTGAGGGGACGCCGTGCCTTCTTCCCCATGGCTCATCATCATCAAACGGACTTCATTTGCATTACAGCCCCTCTCTACCCTCCTCCCTTGACCCCAGAAACAATCATGTAATCATCGGACAAACCGCTGGACAATCAAGCAATTTAATTAAAATGAAAAGTCCAACAACAACAACAACATCGTTGTCGTCGTTGTCGTCGTCGTTGGACAGAAGAGCCCGCAAATAAAATACTCGCGGGCATTACGACAAATGTGTTACAAAATGCTAATTAAATGCCATGGAAAATTGGGCCAAGCCTCCGAAATGGAAACAAACCTAATCACACCCAAAGGGGCTCAAGGGGCTGGGGGCTGGGGGTTGGGGTTGAGTCCATTGAGGATTGTTTCATGCTCTCTCAAGTGCATTGTCCACACAGGAAAAAAAACAAGAACATAACCCAATCCTTGCGTATATTTTGTGATAATTAAGTGAAAATTACACACTTACAATGGTTGTTATGTATAGATATTAGATATGTATGTAGTATATATTATTCAGTCACTCTCCATTAGCCTACAAAAATTCCTCGGGAAATGTGACAACAGAAGGACGAATTTAGCAGGCAGAACATTGCATTGCATTCAATTAATTATCGAAAATATAATTGAAATGTTGTTTTGCAAATTAGTTCCACTTTCGACACAAATACAAGTCAAAGCGAAGGCCTCCATTTTGTAATAATCAATTTGGATCAATTCCGTTGCCCCATATCCGTTAATGAAATTTAATCAAAATCCCTTCTTAGATCCTACATCCCGAAACGAACCGGGGATGTATAAGTTTATCCATTGTGGTCTTGTAATAAACAGAATTATATATATGTACGTAGGATATTATTTAGCAATAGTCTATTGACATTGTTAATCGCGATAGTCTGGTATGTGTGAGAACAAAAAGGGTTTTTTTCTGCTGCTGCTGCTGCTTCTGCTTACGGCTGGCTGCTGCGATTCTCTCGCTACGACTTCTATTGCTGTTCCTCTTTTTTCTGCTGTGCTCTCCGCTCTCCTTCTGCCGTTGCTGCTTCTGTTGTTGCTTCGCTGTTGGTCTGCTGTTACTCTACTGTTAGTCTGCTGTTATTGCTATCTGTATGCTGTTAGTCTGCAGTTACTCTACTGTTGATCTGCTCTGGACCTGCTGTTACTCCGCTCTCCATCTGCCGTTGCTGCTTCTGTTGTTGCTCCGCTGTTGGTCTGCTGTTACTCTGCTGTTAGTCTGCTGTTATTGCTGTTTGTCTGCAGTTGATCTGCTCTTACTATGCTGTTACTCTGCTGTTAGTCTGCTGTTATTGCTGTTAGTCTGCAGTTGATCTGCTCTTGCTATGCTGATGATCTGCTGTTATTGCTGTTACTCCGCTGTTGATCTGCTGTTACTCTACTGTTGATCTGCTGTGGACCTTCTGATACTTCCGTTGCTCTGATGTGGATCTGCTCTTGTCTGCTGTTACTCTGCTGCT